TAATGTACAAGTCACCTCGCATCTCAGTCTGTTTCCTCATCTGTTAAATGGGGGGGTTAGACTATGATCATAGGACTTAGAGGTATAAGGAAAGCCTTAGGGCACCTAGTTCAATATTTTACAGATGAGGAAACTGAGGCCTATAAAGTAGAGTGACTTTCCCAGGGTCATACAGGTAATCTGAGGTACCTTTTAACTCCAAAGTTCCTGCGTTCCACCCCCTCCCTGCCATCTGTATGTTTGTGTGGCTAGGGACCAGCCCAGACTTAGCTGATTTGACTTTGGGGATGACTGGGGTTGCCTAACGCCACCCAAGCTCTAGCCTGGGTCCTTCTCCTGGTTCTGCTGCGAACCAGCTCTGTGACCCTGGGCAAATGGCTTTCCCTCTCTGGGCTTTAGTCTTCTCCTCCGTGAAGGAGTTTGGATGAGCTGGCCTCTCATCTGCCGTCTAGCTCTAACATTCTCTGGTTCAGAGGCTTCAGGGTCAGACAATGGGAAATGCCTCCCAATGAGGATGCGGGAAAAGGGACCAGAGAGCCCGTTACCAGGATGTTCTGCCTGAATCGCTGCTCCTTGGAGGCCTCGGAGGGAAGATCAGACCCTGACCTCCCGAGTGTGGAGGGAGCAGTTGGGAAGCATCCCAGTCCTTGCACAGACATGGGCCCTTCCTGCTCGTTGGGCCAGGAGGCTGGGGCAGCCACGCAGGAGGGCTCGTGGGAAAGAGGGAGCCCAGGGAGTGGGCAGGACCACGGAGGCCTTCAGAGAGGATCCCAAAAGCCACATCAACTCAACCATTTACAGAAAAGAAGGGAGAGAGCCAGGTTTACCACAAGGTAAGGCAAAGTAGATGGCGTAGCCCCAGGATACCCAGCAGAGAAGCCAGGGCCCTCTGAGATTCTCTCCAAGAATTGGGGAAAAGGGAGGAAAGACCACGGGATGAGCGATTCCAGAATGGCTAATCCAGTTCTTTCTCTTTGTGATGTGTGTGTGTGTGTGTGTGTGTGTGTGTGTGTATGTGCACGCTTGTGTGCATTTGTACAGGGCCAGGAGAAATGTCAGGGCTGGAAGGCACATCTGAGATCATTCATTTCTACCCTCTCATTTTACAGGGGAAGAAACTGAGGGCCAGAGAAGGGACTTCTGTGTAAAATGAGGGGGTTGGCTTCCATGCCCTTTTGGGTTCTTTTCCAGCTCTCTGTGCAGGATCCTGTTACTGGAGCTGCCTGACCAGCTATGGGCAGTCAGGATTTGAATCCCGCCCTTTGGCCTGGGGCTTGCCTCCCGTACTTTCCATGACTAATAATGGAGGAAGCAAGCTCAGAATCTGCTGGATGGCCTTTGCAGATCGAGCCTCAGGGAGAGAGCTGAGTAGCTTCTGTGTTTTCTCTAGTCTAGAAAACACCGTTTGTACGAGTTGAGTTTTCTCATCTGGGCCAGGCTGGGAGGTTGGCTGTTGATCCTCAGCACATTCTCCTGGCCCCTGCCCAGGACTAGCTGTCTGTGCCCCTCAAGGTGCCGGCCGGCCAAGAGGGCTCATAAACTAAGGTGGGCATGTACGTTAATGGGGGAGATCTGGAAGGGGGCCTGGGGGCGGGTGTGTTTGAAGGTGGCATTCTGGAGACATCACCCCCTCCCTGCCTCTCACTCAGCTCACTCTTGATGTCGTGGTGGGAACTGAAGAGCCAAGGGGTAGCCAGGCCCTCGATGGCGGGGCCATCTGGCACCTCTCAAGTCACGCCTTGCTGGCCAATGACTCCATCTTCACCAAGGATCAGCCTGGCTGGGTAAGTACTTTAGGAGACACCCGCCTCGTCTTAGGGGCCTCCCATAGCCCTGAAGCCTGGAAGGAGGGAGACACACTGCCGGGGGCATCAGGGGCTGCTTCCCTTTCTGCTGTCTGTTCACTGGGGTATTTTTTTTTATTTCGGCAATTGGGGTTGAGTGACTTGCCCAGGGTCACACAACTAGTAAGTGTCAAGTGTTTGGTCTGAGGCCGGATTTGAACTCAGGTCCTCCTGACTTCAGGGCCGGTGCTCTATCCACTGCTCCACCTCGCTGCCCCTGTTCACTGGGATTTTGGACAGGTTTCTTCCGCTCCCTGGGCTCTGGTTTCTCTGAGATGATGTTGACTCATGTCCATGCTTGTGTCTGATGGCAGATTGGCCCAAGTGCTCATTCAGTTGTCCAGTCAGTTTGGTTCAGAGAGCGCCCCTTCGCTGGGGCTCCCCGTCCCCTTAACTCCTACTTTCCGACTCTCCAAAAGCCCAAAAGGCGTTGTGTGTATGTCTCTTCTTGGGATTGCTCCCCAAGCCTTGATTATTGGACGAGTGTGTCTCTGCCCCACTGGGCAGAGCAGGCCACCGACCTTGACCCCTCCCTCGGGGAGCCTGGGTCACTCTCTAGGCTGGGATGGACACGTAGAGGGGCTATGCCAGGAGCAGCGTGTCGACCACAAACATTACATTTGGAAGTGTCTGACCAGAGGAGGAGGCAAAGGGAATCTTCTCTCCCCAAGGCGGTGGGGTTTTGCAGGAAGTAGCACCTTGGTTGGCTCCGCGGGGTGGGGGTCCGCTCCATCCAGGTCCTGGTGGGAAGGGAAGCCATCGGAGGAGGAGGAAAGGTGGAGGCGGGCAGAAGGACACAGACCGGGGTTGTGGCATTGCCCACGACCCTTACAGGCCCTCCAGCTGGATCTCAAGGATCGGTGCAACCCCCTCATTTTACAGATGCCCAAGCTGAGGACTAGGCCGGGAGGTGATTAATCAGGCCAGGGTCACCCACACAGGTAGAAAATTGCAGAGCCTCTGATTCCAGGCCTCCCCTCCCTCTCACTGCCCTTTCTCCTGGAAATACCGCCTGCTGTCCTGGGTTGACTGTGAGCAGCCCGCTGCCAAGTGGGTTTACACTTCACAGGAAGATTAGCCAGTTGGAAGCCTTTTCCCTTCCCTTGCTGTTTCAGGTGGTTCCCATATGGTCTGCTTAGTTCTATTGCCATGGGCCTGGCTGGGAGGGAAATGGGAAAAATATTTCAGAGCAGCAGTGAGGGATGAGGGCAAGGGGGTAGGTCTTGACATAGTCAGCTGGGGTATCTTGCTGTATGCTCAAAACCCCCTCCCCTCTCGTCCAACTGACTGAGACCTCAAACAGGCCTCACCATTAAACCCAGCTCAGACTTACTGAATGGTATAGCTGCTTCACGTGCCTCAGTTTCCCCATCTGTAAAAGGCTTGAAGTCGACACAAAGGCCCCTTCTAGCTCTGACATCCTTTGGTTCTGTGATCCTAAGCCTTTCTGGATGGATTAGAAGGGATCAAGTAACTCACCCTTTCCTCTCCAGCATCTCTGGACCCAGAGTGCCCCTGGCCTTAGTCTCCACTCCAGTGAAATGCTTTTGCTGGCCCCCCCACGCTTAATACAGACTTTACTGAGACTTTTATAGGATATCCACATCAGACCAGGGCAGCGAGGTGGTGCTGTAGTGCATAGAGCACTGAACCTGGAATCAGGAAGACTCATCTTCTTGAGTTCAAATCTGACCTCAGAAGTTAGCTATGTGACCCTGGGCAAGTCACTTCACCCTGGTTGCCTCAGTTTCCTCATCTGTAAAATGAGCTGCAGAAGGAAATGGCAAACCACTCCAGTGTCTTTGCCAAGAAAACCCCGAATGGGGTCACAAAGAGTCAGACACAACTGGAATGACTCAAAAACCACCGTATCGTTCCATCTAGACCTGTAGTTGTGTGTCCTTTTCCATCTGTCTGTCTGTTAAAAGGCATGTGGTTCAGTGGCAGCAGCCCTGGGTTTCCACTTGGGCTCTGCTGCTCCTTATTCCCCGGGTGACCTGGCAAGTCCCTTCGCTTCTCTGGGCCTCAGTTGCCTCCATGCCGTGGTGTGGATGATGCCTGAGGTCCCTTCTACCTCCAAATCCTGCCATTCAGCAGCAGTTCAGCCGTGTTATTCCTTGGCAATTAGACACTTGACTATTTAGAGAGGAGTGAGGAGAGCCTCCCTTGTGCCCTGCTGGGTCAGGACGGGATCCGGGCATGGTGACTGACCGTGGAAGAAACGCACACCTCTATATCCCCTAGCACTCAACGCTGTGCCTCGTGTGGAGGAGAGACAGTGTTGCCCAGTGGTTAGAGCCAGGAAATCTGGGATCAGATCCTGCCTCAGACCCTGCGCAAACCTGAGAGCCTCAGTTTCTTCATCTGTAAAATGGGGGACAATGATACAGTGAGAGCATTGCTCTGAGGAAGGGGGAGAGGAGGAGGAGACTCAGCTGCCTGACCCCCTTCCAGCCCACCTGCCTTCGTTAACAGCCCCTGGGAGGAGAGCCGGCCCCGTGGCAGGGGAGGATTCGGCCTCTTACAGGATCAGTTGGAAGACCGGCGTGTTTGGGTGGTTTGGTTTGCCTTTTCCCTTCTGGCCTCTCTGGGGTGCCCTGTGGGCCTGTGGCCACCAGGTGTCACTGCCCACTCGATTCCTTCTTGAAGACCTTTGCCCCGTTGTAGAGCATCTGGCTAAGGTAGAGATCTGCCCTGTGACAGGTAGGCCAGTAGACTCAGGAGCAGAGATCTCTCCTATGTGCTGAGCGGCCTCCTGGAATCTCAGACCAGCTGCCGGATCTCAGGCTTGTTTTCACTCCCCTCCCAGGAATGTCAGGGAGGAAAGTCCCAGCATCACTGTGTCATTGTGGCCTGGAATCCCAGCCTGTCCCTTTCCACAGCCTCCCACCTAGCCTCATTTACTGCTCCGGTGTTAGGCTTGGGCACCTGACCCAGCCCCTCATCTTGGCACTCTTGCCCGGCTTGATGGTCAACCTACTCTGGCTTTGTGCTTGGCTCGGTCCTGGGCCTGTTCGTGCCTCCCTGATATGGAGCCAAGCGGGGTCAGGGCAGGAACCCGGCATCCTCCCCCAGGCCCCACTCCCCCCTCCCCCAACATTGGAGGCAGAGAGAGGAAGGGGGCACAGGGACCAGAAGCAGGTGGGCCTGGCCCCACCTTGGGCTTCCAGCATGGGGGACATCTGGCTCTTGGCGCCTGGATGCCCTGGGCCCAGCCTGGCACTTGCCAGCGTCCAGAGTGGACAGACGAGGTGGTGTTTCTGTGTACGCGGTGGTGCAGGAGCCTTCTGATGCTGCTGAGTAAACATGAAGCTCAGACCCTGAATTGTGGCTGTGTGAGGGGGCAGGGGGCAGAGGTCAGTCACTGAGGACAGCTCCAGGCAGCTCATTGGTCAGCGTGTGCCAGCGCTCGATTTTCTTGTCCTTGTTTTTCAGGCAGTCGAACCAGTGCTTCAGGCGCTCGCCCTTGGCGTTGATGCCCAACACGACGCCTCCTGAAAAGCAAGAGGAGCTTAGGTCAAGAAAAAGAGGGTGTCTTCTGAGACACTAAACACCTACTGTGTGATTGTGGGCAGGTCAGGTGATCCTTCTGTGCCTCAGTTCCCTCGTCTGTACCTCGAGGGTACAGATATTGATATTGAGAGAATCTCTCCGGTCTCCCCTGGCTCTAGACCCTACAATCCCATGAACCAGGGAATCCATATACATGGGGACTCACTGCCGCAGAGGGTAGTGCCAGGGACGCACGTCTGGGACTCTTCAGGTGAGAACCTGCTTTGTTCCTGGGGCCCAGACACAGCCAAGACCTGGTGCTCTGGCCAGCCTAGAGACGGCCCCTTCTCCAGCCAGTATGGACCGTTGGGTTAGAGGGGCGTGAGCAGGGTAGGGTTGTTGTAAGAATTTCTGTGCCTGTGGTCTCCCTTCCTTTTCCCTTGTACAAACAGCCCTGTCCTTTAAGGCCTGGTGTGAGAGCACAAAATGCCTGGGCCCATGAGCCTCTTGGAGACCAAAAACATTGGCTTGCCACAGATCACTTCTCTTTTGAACTCTGGCCATGCCTCCTCTTCCTGCTTAATACCTATCCCATCTTCTTGCCCTTTTCTGAAGACTTCCATACCCCAATGCTTCCATTCCCTATTTTATTCAGCTGGACCCTTCTTGGCTAATATCTAGTGACTCCTCGCTTGTGATGTCAGAGATGTGACGTCAGGGATTGAGAACCTCCGCCTCCCCCTTACACCTTGAAAACCTGTGTCTACCTGTGGCCTCAGGCAGCAACTTGCCATGCTAACATAGGGGGAGCTGGGTACACTGAATCCAAGGGTGGCCCCTCTCAAGGACCTTCGCTGACCGCTCATTCTCCTGTTGTGGCTAACTGAGCCAGGCCCAGCACTCTATCCACTGCGTCACCTCGTTGCCATAAGAGGCAGTTCCTGAGAAATGCTACAGCTGAGAAGTTGGGCAGCCTGGGTAACCCATTCTCAATCTTTCCAGCTTTGTAGGACTTATGATATTGATCAATATGATAATCATAATATTGATAAATTATGATCAATAAAATTTATCATGATAATATGATCAATAAGGATGATGATGATGATAAAATTATATAGCACCTACTATGTGCCAGTTACTGTGCTTTACAAACATGATCTTGTTTGATGTATTATTATCATCATTCGCCTTGTTTTCTGTGGGAGAATCTAAGTTCTCAGAGCCACACTCAGGACTTCCCACAGCAGGGGGCACACAGGAGTAACTGAATCCTTGTTGGGCAACCACGTTTCTGCTGCTCCAGAGCTGTCCCGGCTTCTGCCTTGGGTTCATGACCATCTAGATCCACCAGAGCTTCTGAAGGAATCCAAATCCCACCAGAGGCTCAAGGATAAATCCACCCTGGTCCTGATTTGGGAGCATTAATTCAGTGTGTGACTTTTCATTTACTCTCATCCCCACACGGGGCCTTGATTTCCACATCTGTAAAATGAGGGGGGTGGGTTAGATCAGTGTTTCCCAGACTAACTGGACCAAAGAACTCCTGGGTTTGATATCCATGAAAGGAAGTCCATGAACAAGGTGCTCCATGGTCAAGGTCATGGTCCGCCATATTTAATCTTGGGCCAAAGGTTTGACAGGAACAGAGGATGTTTGTGAGAGTCGCTGGCAAGGCAGAGAGTACTGTGGGCCAGTGGGAGGCACCTGTGGGTAGGGTCAAGGCTTTACAGGGATGGGAGGTCTCAGATGGGACAGAGTTTACTATGAGGCGGAAGTCTTTCCATGCTCACGAGGTTGGGCAGAGAGGAAATCCAGCAGGGGAAATCTGGGAATTGTTAACCAGGACAGCAGCCCAGGTTGTAGACATGGAAGGATGGGACCACTTCCTGACCAGTGGGCAAGATTTCTATTCTCCATGGCACCCTCAGGTCTACAGATTGGCCCTGCCTTGTCTGTGCCCTCTTGTCAATCCCCTATAGCCGTGCCGGTGGTAGGGCGGTCATCCAGTGGGTATTTGTCTGACTCAGCCCTCCTAGATCCTGGTGGCTGGTAAGAATGGGTCTACTGGGGTAACTCCATCAGTGAGTCATCCTGGATGGGGATTTGTGGAGGTGCAGTGGTGTTCTCAGCCCCAAGCTCTATGGGAACGTGGATCCATGCCTAGAAGGCCTTCCTACATAACTGTCGACATTGGCATCCCTAACTGGTAGCCAGGCCCAGACGGGTCAGGGATTCTACAGTCTCTCTTGTACAATTTCAGTCGTACTTTTTTTTTGTTGGGCAAGGGGCCAGGACTCTGAGGGGCAGGGGGCTGAGGCTCCCATTAGGTTGTTAGCAGGAGTAGGTGGTGTCTCCGGTCCCTGTCCTGGGTCTCTTCAGGCCTCGTTGGGGGTAGGAGTGGATTAGAGCCAAGGCTGCAGAAAGGAGGGTCTGGCACCTTTTAAAGACCTTCACAATCTGCCCCTGACCTATCTTCCCAGTCTCATTCATGACTTGCCTTCTTTCCCTCTACTGGACAGCCACACTGGCTTTCTTTCTGTTAGAGACTCCCATTTCCATCGCCATGCCTTTGCACCAGCCAGTGCCCCACGCCTAAATGTCCTCAATCCTCACCTCCACCTAATCGAATCTCTTTCAAGACAGCTCAGACACCACGTTCTACGTGAAACCTTTCCTGATTTCTCCCCCACCCCTGTTGGTGCCTTGTCTCCCTAACTCCCTTGAATTTATTCTCTCTACATTTTTTCTGTATATCCACCGTGCAATTCCATTAGAATGTGAGCTCTTTGAGAGAAGGAATTATTTCATTCTCTGTATGTGCATCTCAGGGCTTGGCACGTAGTAGATTTGAAATAAAGGCCTCTTGCCTGATTGCTTGGCCCAGACTCCCCCTTAGGTCCTTGGGCCCCGCCTTGGTTTGGGGGTAGCATGGGTATTTTCTTAAAGAAATCCTATTCTCATCAGGGGCCATACGAGGGTTCCATGGGGCATCATTTAGGAAATTCTAGATGAATTAACTCCAGTTTCCCCCTACAGCTCTGACTCTGTGGGATTCCCTGTCCAAGGTCTGGGATGAAATAACTGGTACTCGTGGAGTTGTACATTACTTGCCTTTCTTCTCAGGAAGCGATACTGACCCCAGGTTGGAGTCCCACCCCCTCTCCCCCACTTCTCAGCAGCTTTCCAAATCCCAGGAAACCCCCTCTTCTAATGCCCTCCTCCCCTGGGTGCCTGGGCATGAAGAGGAGGATCCCCCTTCGGGCCCCTCTCTTTCCTTACCGATGAAATCATTTGATTTGCCGATATCATAATCCCAGACAGTGACCTCCAGGGTCTTCTTAGCCAGGTCTCCGTGCTTTATTTCATAGCAGAACTCCTAACGTCCAAAATAGAGCAAAGCCGTCAGCGTAGCCTGTCTGAGCCAGATAGGCCCGCCTCACTGCCCGGTGTGGGTGGCATTGGAAAAAGCTGGAATTTTGAAGCTGAGAGGCAGGGGCTGGATCCTGGCTGGGCTACTCTAAGGGACCCTGGGCAAATGACTTGAGTTCTACGGACCTCAGTTTCCTCATCTGTAAATGAGGAGGTGATAGGATCCATGATCTTCAGCTGGAAGAGATCTCAGAGGTCATGTGGTCCAATTGCCCCTGGCCAGCCCCTCCCCATTTCCCCTTTAAAGAAAGCCATGGCCTAGGGAGGTTAAAAGACCCATTGTTCAGTGTCAGAGAGGTGTCTAGGAAGGAATTATCAGAGGGAAGATTTGAACCCAGGTCCTTTGATTCTAGACTTCAACGAACCTCTGCTTTATGCCTTCCACATTCTAGTCAGTCCAGCCTACCTGCGTTCCTCCATACCGCATTTCCACCCCTTTCTCTTTGTACCTTTGCACCAGTTGCCTCCCATGCATGGCAAGATCTCCCTGCTTTTTGCTATTTTGCATTTTAATACTAAATTAATTACTAATTAATATCAATGTTTTAATATTTTGTATTTTAATGATCTATGCATGTACTTCTCCATCCCCTTCCCCTCGTAGAATGGAAACTCCTTGAGAGCAGGGGCTCTCTTGTTTTGGTTTCGTGTCCAGCATGGGTGGGGACTGAATAAATGTGTGTGCTGGAGGAATGAATTGGACCTGCTCTTTCATGGTGGGAGGCCAGGCATCCCTAGAAACTCTGGCCGGGGCATAGTCCAGTTCTGGGAATTTGCCTGTTTGCTCAGTAATCTGCCTCTCGCACCCAGGCTGACATCATTCCGCCCAACCTTGGGCTACCCTCATTCCGTCCCCCCTCTCGCTTGGCACCTCATTGAATTCTGGATTCAGGGTTTTCTTCTTCACAGCCGTCTTGTGTTTGGATTTCTTGTCCACGTCAGGTTTCAGGTATCTGTAATTATAACCAAGAAGCGGGCCAGCATTGGGAAGTGTCAGGAGATTGGGCTGGGCTCTCTGGACGAGAACTTTCTACATCTCAGGAAATATTTCAGGGATTTCCCTTGCCACTGAAATCCCATTTCATTCAACGTTAGCTATACCGTGATCGAAGGTGCACATCGTCTTCAGAGAGGAGCCATTGGCAAATTCATGAAGTGTGCTTTCATTTATAATTCTATTCCCAAGGGTATTTATTAATAGGTCTCAGTAAATATTATAAGGGGCAGCTAGGTGGTGCAGTGGATAGAGTGGCCCATCCTGGAGTCAGGAAGACTTGTTGCTGAGTTCAAATCAGGCCTCAGACACTTACTAGCTGTGTGACCCTGGGCAAGTCACTTCACCCTGTTTGCCTCAGTTTCCTCATCTGTCAAATGAGCTGGAGAAGGAAATGGCAAACCACTCCAGTACCTTTGCCAAGAAAACCCCAAATGGGGTCACAAAGAGTTGCACACAGCTGAAACAACTGAACAACAATAGTGTAAAGCTTTTTACACTGGGAAAATGAACATGTGTTTGCATTTCTAGATGGGTTTAGGTTCCACAAATTCTCCTTCTCTCCTGGGAATCAGGCTCAGCAAATACTTTGATATGCTAACTGCCCTGATGAAGACTGACTAAGCAGCAGAGGCATCTTAAGAGTAGATAGCTAGAGGGGGCAGTGAGTAGAGCACCAGGCTTGGAGTCAGGAGGATCTGAGTTCAAATCCAGCCTCAGACAGTTGACACTTATAGCTGTGTGACCCTGGGCAAGTCACTTAACCTCATTCCGTAGCCAAAAAGAAAGAAAGAAAAGAATAGATAGCTATAGGAACAGAGGCACAATTCACCAATTTGCTAATTTGTCTTTTCTGCTGTGGATATTAGCCCTATAACAATGAAGATTTCTTAGAGAGGCAGGATGGTTCGGTGGTAAGAACACTGACGGTGGAGTCAGCCGACCTGGGTGACCCTGGGCAAATCACTTTGGTTTTCCCATCTATAAAATAAGGAGCATGGATCAGGTGACCGGTTCTAGATCTTAGAACCTATGACTCTGGCTCCTCAGATGTTTTCATGTATTAAGAACCTACTATGTGCCCAGCACTGTGCTGAGCCCTGGGGAGCCCCCAGTTAATATGTCCACAACTATGCATGGACAAGATCTATTCAGGGAAAAAAGGAAATAACCAGCAGAGGAAAGTCAGTAGAATTATGGGGAATTGGGAAAAGCCTCCTATTGGACATGGGATTTTAGCTTAGATTTGAAGGGAGCCAGGATGCAGAGGAGAGCATTCCAGGTATGAGGACAGCCAGTGGAAATGCCCGGAGGTGGGAGAGAGGGGAGTGGCGAGGCTGCCGATGTCACTGGATTGTAGATACATGGGGTGACATAAGGTGTAAGAAGACCAGACGGAGGAGTTATGAAGGGCTTTGGGTGCTGAACAGTGGGTTTTATATTTGATTCTTTTTTTTTTGCCCAGGGTCACACAGCTAGTGAGTGTTAAGTGTCTGAGGCTGGATGTGAACTCAGGTCCTCCTGACTCCAGGGCCGGTGCTTTATCCACCGCGCCACCTAGCTGCCCCTTTATATTTGATCCTTGAGGTGATGGGGAGCCACAGTAGTTACTGAGTAGAGGAGTGCCGTGCTATGTTTTCGGAAGATCACCTTAGAGGCCGAATGGGTTGCAGGGGTGGGGAGCCTGCGGCCTTGAGGCCACGTGGTCCTCAAGTGTGGCCCCTCGACTGAGCAAGCCCTGGGTTAGAAAGTGCAGGGAGACTTGAGGCAGTCAGACCCACCAGCAGCTGCTGTAGGAGTCCAGGCATGAGGTGCTGAAGGCCTGTACCTGGGAGAGACGGTGCCAGAGGAGCGAAGGTGGCATATTCGAGAGATGTTACAAAAGTAAAATCAATAGGCCTTGGCAAAAGATTGGGTATTGGAGGAGATAATAATAATACCTAGCGTTTATAAAGCACCTTAAGGTTTGCAAAGTGCTTTACAAATATTATCTCATTTTATCCTCACAACAACCCCGAGAGGTAAGTGCTATTATACCCATTTTACAGATGAGGAAACCGAGGCAGATGAAGCGAAGTGACTTGCCCACTCTCACATGCAGTATGCTTCCGGGGTTAGGATTTGAGGACCAGTCTCCCTGGCTTCAAGGTTGGCTCTGTAGCCGGTATTACGCACTGCCTTGCAGGCCTTTCACAAGTCACCGCATTCACTGGGGCATCAGTTTCCCCATGAGAGGACTGGATAATTTGGCCTTTGAGGTCCATTTCCAATCTAGACCTATCATCTTATAAATTCATTTTCTAGAAGTATTTCCAGACCCAGGAATAAGGTTGCTAAATCATGCGGAGAGAGCTTGTTTTCCTGGTAAGAAAACTGAGGTCTCAGAGGAGCAGTGACTTGCCTAGCCTTACCCATCTGGTAAGTGTCCCAGGTGGGATTTGAACTCAGGGAATCCAGGAATTCCCAGCCTAGCGCTCATTTACCGATGCAGTTATGCTGTACGCTGCAATGTGCGGTGTGAACACAAGGGGGCGCTGCGGCTCCACTAGAGGATTGTCTCCAGGTCTCTGACCTCGAAGCCACTTTTCTCAGTCTCCATTGGAGAGCCCCAGGACCCCCTAAGCCTTGAGTAGTTGAATAGAGTAACCCAAGCTGATGGTCATCTAGTGTTTTACAATTTGCAAAGGGGGATTTTACATCCAGGAGCCTCCCAGCAGGCACAATCGAAGTCCCATTTGACAGATGAAGCAACTGAGGACCAGAATGGGTCATAATTTGTCCAGCCTCAGACAGCTCCCAAGCAGCCCAGGTGTCAGGTCCCCCTTTACCCACTGTATGTTTTTGTTCAGTCGTTTCAGGCGTGTCTGACTCTTCGTGACCCCATCTGGCGTTTTCTTGTCAGAGACACTGGAATGGTTTGCCATTTCCTTCTCCAGCTCATTTTACAGATGAGGTAACTGAGGCAAGCAGGTTGAAGTGACTTGCCCAGGGTCACACAGCTAGTAAGTGTCTGAGGCCTGATTTGAACTCAGGTTCTCCTGAGGCCCAGTGCCCTAACCACTGCTCCACCCAGCTGCCTGAGCTTACCTGCTATAGCCAGTCTCCAAAAACATTTTTGATCTTATGTTGGTAAAAAATTTTTGAGCATGTACCCTTCACTCCAATATGTATATTCATAAACTATGTTCTCTGTGACTTATTCTCCTAACCCGAGGCATAAAGGCTTGAGGGAGGAGAAGAAGGGGAGGGTGTCTTACCAGGTACAGACGTTGAACACAGAACCCATTCTCCAGGGGCATCTGCTGTTGAAGGCATGAAATGATGGGAGCGCAGGGGAGGCATGGAGAGGGGTTATGGGGAGGGTGCCACTTGGAGGAGCCCGTGGCCCAGGCAGAAGTGGCCCAGGCTCGCAGCTTGGCATCGCAGATGGTCACATCTCCCCCCACACCCAGGGGCAGACCTTCCTTTTGGAGACTGGGAACTTTTAACTTAAGCATGCCACACTACTGTCACATTTTCTTCTGGGAGAGATTGGAAGCGACCAGAGGGCAGGTGCCAGGGGGTTGGATCCTGCTTGTGTTGGTCATAGAGAGTCACCTTGGGAAAGTCATTTGACCTCTCCCAGCCTCAGTTTCCTACTCTGAAAAATGAGAATGTTGGACCAGATGACCCTTCTAGCTCTAAATCTGTTTCCAGACTTCTCTTGTACCCACCCCTCTGAAGTACTGAGCACAGGGCTGGGGACAAAGTTGGGGCTCAGTGAACTCTTGCTACATTTCCTCCCTGAGATTCTTCTGAGCTCTGCTGCTTCTGACGGGGCATCTCCCATGGAGAGGAGCTGCCTGGCCCTGGCTCAGCCAGACCTGGGCCCCATGGCGCCATCACCTTGAGCCAGCTGCGTCCTGTGGCTCGAAGGGGCAAAGAGGAAGGAAATCAGCATTTATTTGGCACCTGCTGTGTGCCCTGCGCAAGTCACTTCACCCTGTTTGCCTCAGTTTCCTCGTCTGTCAAATGAGCTGGAGGAGGAAATGGCAGACCACTCCAGTATCTTTGCACAGAAAAATTCCAAACGGGGTCAGGGAGAGTCGGACGGGACTGAACAATGACTAAGCAACATTCTGCAAGGCTGTGCTAAGCATGGTTTGCAACTATTATCTCATTCCAATTCTCATAACCCTGTGAAATAGGTGCTATTATTATCCACATTTTACAGATGAGGAGACTGAAGTCTAGAGAATTTAAGTGATTTACCCAGTGCCACACAGATAATAAATGTCTGAGGCTGGATTTGAACTCAGCCCTCCCTGACCCCTGACCCAGAGTTCTAACTACTTCACCACCATCTGCCTTGAAGCATGGTACGATGGGAAGAACATGGGCTCTGGAATTAGTGGATCTGGGTCCAAATCATGACTCTGACACCTAGTACCTATGTTGTTGTTTTTGTTTGATCATTTCAGTCGTGTCTGACTCTTTGTGACCCCACTTGGGTTTTGTTTTTTTTTTTGCTTTTTGGTGAGGCAGTGGGGGTTAAGTGACTTGCCCAGGGTCACATAGCTAGTAAGTGTCAAGAGTCTGAGGCTGGATTTGAACTCAGGTCCTCCTGACTCCAAGGCTGGAGCTCTATCTACACATTTGGGGTTTTTTTGGGCAAAGATACTGGAGTGGTTTGCCATTTCTTTCTGCAGCTCATTTTACAGATGAGGAAACTGAGGCAAGCAGGGTAAAGTGACTTGGCCAGGGTGACAAGCGAGTAAGTGTCTGAGACTGGATTTGAACTTGGGAGGATGAGTCTTCCTGACTTCAGGTCTGGGGCTCTGTGCACTATGGCGCCCCCTAGCGGCCCTATTAATTGGGTGACACTGAACAAACCACCTACTATCCCTAGACCAGAGTTTCCTCATCTGTTAAAGAAGGGGGTTAATCAGCGGGCCCTTGCGGTCCCTTCTGTACCCAGACCCTCTGAGGGTGGAAGAGGGAGGGGTGCCCCACTGGCTTACATTTTCACGTAGGGGTCGGAGTATCCATTGGCATCCATGGCCGCCAGATGCGCACACCTCACGATGCCCACCAGCAGGCCCTGCTTCTGGGAGCTGTACTTGAGGGATATCAGGATCCGCCCTCGCTCTTCCAGGGACTTGTCTTCCGTCTTATCCACCTGTGGGGGGAGCAGAGCAAGGATGGTAGGAGCAAAGATGGCCTCCCACCCCACAGTCCCCATCGCACCATGGACCAGCCCGCCAAGGAGAGGCTCTGCTCAGACCGATGAGACCGCCGCAGTCAGCCCCGCTCGATCTAGTGGTGATGCAGGAGACAGAGTGCTGGACTTGGAGTCGGGAAATCCTGCCTCAGACACTTACTAGCGGTGTGACCCTGGGCAGGTCACTTAACCCTGTTTGCCTCAGTTTCCCCATCTGTCAAGTGAGCTGGAGAAGGAAATGGCAAATTCCTCCAGTATCTCTGCCAAGAAAACCCCGAATGGAGTCACGAAGAGTCAGACATGACTGAAATGAACGAGCAGCAAATCCTGACCCCTAGTTTCATTGATATGGGGAGATCCCCCCCAATGCAGGTCACAGGTTGGGTCTTCTGTCATTTATAGACCTTGCGAATTACCTAGAGCAGTGGTGTCAAGCTCAAATAGCAATGGATCCCTGCACTTAGAAAACCACAAATTAACGCTGTCTCTGTTGTATTTTTAAACATTTTCCAAATCCATTTTAACCTGGTTCTGGCCCACACTCTGGAGTGTGGCTCAATGCATTGGCCTGAGGGTTGAGAGGTTAAGTGACTGCCCAGGGTCCCTCAGGTAACAAAGATGGCACCTGATCTGAGGTCTTGCTGGCCCTGAGGCCGGCTCCATATCCATTCCTCCATGCTGACTCTCTCAGAAAAGACAAACTGAAGCCACAATAATAATTCTGTGTCACATGTCCCAATACTGAAGAATAATAATAATAGATAGCATTTATATAGTTGGGAGGTTTGCAGAGCATGTTGCAAATGTAAGCCCTGTCCCCCTACTCATTGTATGGGACTCTCTCCTATTGGTGGAGATGGAGGTCCTGTCCTGAGAGTCCAGGGCTCCAGTCTTTGCCCAGCCCCCTCTGGGGACTGTTAGAGTGAGTGTGTCCTTCAAGCATTGGGAGAGAGGATGGGAGAGGCCACGCCCACTCCAGGTTCCTGAAGGAAATGCCTGGGACGACCTAAGGGGAGCTGGCCATCTCCATCATGTCTCTGTCCCCAGCTTGCTACTCTAGAGACGTCGGGGAGTTTCCCCGTGGGTGAGGGCCAAGTCTGCTTCTCATGGCTGAGCTGAGTTATCTCACTCCCAATGGGAGAGCTCCTTCCCTCTGTATTGTCTGGGATGGATTCTCCTATGCAGACCTTCTCTGATTTCTGTTTTGCTGTGATCTGGAGAAATGGGCATCTTTGCTATTCTCCCTGTGTGTTCATTGTGGAACTGGTGTTAGGTGGGAAAGGGGTCAACCTTGGGTTCCTCCTCCCAAAGTGATCTGAAGCTACATGACACCCAGTCATATCCCCTTGATGAACAGTATTTAAAGGGAGCAGATTGATATACCTCCAGCCTACCCTTTCTCCTGGGAGGCAGGGGGACCTCCAGCCCCAGCCCCCCACTTCCCCTCCTGGCAGGGATAGGAGTCCTCCGTCTGGAGAAGGGGGTGGGGAGGAGAACAGTCTGGGGATGTCTATTCTGCCTCCCGGGGAGCCACACCCAAGGACAGTGTCCTTGACACACTTGGGGCCTCACTACACATGTGGGACCCACTCCATCACTCTACTGGTACGCAAATATGATCTCATGTGATCTGATCAACAGGTAGGTGCTATGATTCCCCCCATTTTATAGAGGAAACTGAAGCAGATACTGTTGAAGTGACTCACTCAGGGTCACTCAATTAATGTGTCTGAATTCAGATTTGAACTCAGGTGTTCCAGACTTCAAGTCCAGAACTTCGTCCACTGTGCCCTCTATACGGGATGGGTAGAGAGTGGATATACTGGAGAACCAGGTGGGTAGGGAGGGGCAGCCCCCTACCTGCTGACCACAGACCTGACTGTGTTACTGTGAGTACCCCTAGGTTAGTATGAAGACAAAGTGTATGAATTACCGACTGTGGGACTAAGCTTTTCTCTCCCTCCCCCTTCTCTTTTCTTCTCTCCTCTCTCTACCTCCCTCCCTCCCTCTTTCTCTCTCTCAATTTCCTCTCTGTCTCTCCCTCCCTCTCTCTGTTCCTCTCTCTGCCTCTCTCGTTCTCTGTCTCTGTCTTTCTGTTTTTCTTTCTTTCTCTCTCTTTCTTTCTTTCTCTCTCTCTCTCTCTCTCTCTCTCTCTCTGTCCCTCTCTCTCTCTCTCTCCCTCTCTCACTTGCTCACACTTTTTCCGAGGGCTGAGAGGCTCAGAGCTTCTCTGCCTTGGCCAGACCAGGAGCCCCAAGGCATCCCAGCAAGAATGGTCCAGTGGGGCCTTGGGAAAGTGTCCTTATTGCTGTGTGCCATCTTCAGCATTCCTGTGAGCCATAGTCATCCCTGCAGGATTCTATCGCTGCGGATCCACTTCTGTCTTCTCTTTCGCTTGAATCTCATCCCTGTTCCTCTCCCCTCTGTGTGTGTGTGTGTGTGTGTGTGTGTGTGTGTGTCTCCTCTGCCTGCTTGCGGTGGGTAGTAGACTGAATTGCAGTTCCTCATGTAAATATCCTGATTGATTACCTGATTGAGCTGATTCTCATTTTGATGAACAGGACTTTCTGCCTTTATCTGCAAGTCAGAACTTCCTCAATATGACCAACACATTTTAATTATAGGCAGCCAGGTGGATAGACTTGTAGTCGAGAAGACCTGGCACTCTGTCCAGTGTGCCACCGAGCTACCCCTAGGCACTTAATAAATGCTTATTGATTGGTTGATTGATTGGCAGTGAGAATTTCCTCACTACCCTCTGAGGTGCAGTAGAAAGAGTCTTGTGTCTCTAGTCAGGCCTGATAATCCTCTAGGCCTCACAGGACCTTCCTATGCTTGTGCTGGGCTCTGGGGACGTGATGGGGTCACTCATAATAAGCCCACTGACTGAGAGGGCAGTAAGCTCTCCACATTCCATTCCATGAACACTTTGTTGTTTTTTGTTTGTTTGTTTGTTTTTGTTTTTGCTTTTTGATGAGGCAATTGGGGTTAAGTGACTTGCCCAGGGTCACACAGTAAGTAGTATGTGTCTGAGGCTGCTTTTGAACTCAGGTCCTCCTGACTCCAGGGTCCAGTGCTCTATCCACCATGCCACCTACCTGCCCCCCCATGAACACTTTGTGATTGGCTACTAGGAGCATACAAGGGTATCCCTCAGAGCTGTAAGATCACAGATCTGGAGCTGGAAGGCCATCTGGAACAGCCCCTCATTTTACTGAGGAGGAAACTGAGGCCCAGAGACTTGCCCAAAGTCACAGAAGTAGGAAGCATCAGGAGTGCAAGTTGAATCCTGGTCCTCTCATTCTGGGGCAACTGGGAAGTATAGTGGTTAGAGCACTGGGCCTGGAGTCAGGAAGACTCATCTTCCTAAGTTCAAATCTGACCTCAGACACTTACTAGCTATGTGACCCTGAGCAAGTCACTTCACCCTTTTTGCCTCAGTTTCCTTATCTGTAAAATGAGCTGGAGAAGAAAATGGTCCATCACTCCAGTATCTTTGCAAGAAAACCCCAAATGGGGTCACAGAGAGTCAGACATGACTGAAAACGACCCAACAACCGCCTCCTTACCGCGCTGCCTCCTGTGTCAGAGTGAGGTTGCCTTGTTCTGGCAGCGTCAGGAATCGGGCCCCCTGAGGCTCCCTGAGCTCTGCACTCACCGGCAGCTGTTTCTCCAGGCAGATGCTGAAGGTCTTGGTTTGGTTGGGTTTCAGTTTTTTCAAGGGGATCCGAGTCTCCCCAATGAACTCATTGTGGCGGAATTTGTCCTCGTCACAGACGGAAATCCTGGAAAGCAAGACAGGTTGCCTGTCATAGAGCAGGGTCAAGGGTATCCAGGATTAATGAACATAGGATGGGGACCAAGGTGGGGGCAGGAGGAAACCGTCCAAGCGAGTGGGACCTGCGGACGTTCTCTTCTCCAGGTAGAGCTGAGGGAGGAGCTGTGCTAGCACCGCCTTACCTTTGTATTAATCTGTGAGTCGCTAGAAATTGGGCCTCAGAACTTCGAAGACGTGGATTCAAATCCAGCACTGTGTGACACTGGGCAAATCGCTTAACTTTTTGGCGACTCCCTGAGACTATAAAGGTACTCTGTACAACAAAGATACAAAGTACAAAGGTGCTCTCTGTACAGGCAACCTCTAGTTGCTTCCTGTCTTGGTGGAGGGAGTTTCTTCCTCTGGGACTTCCTTATGTCCGTGAAATCCAGTCCCTATCTCTTAAAGCTCACCTCCTTCAAAAGGCCTTCCTGCATTAACCCCCCCAACTCTCTTCCCTCATCCTAAATCCCCTTCTCTGCTTCTGTATTGCAGTGATATCTCCCTGAGCTTGGAATCCAATGTATCAGTTTCCTCATCTGTAAAATGGGTACAACACTTTTCCTTATCTATAAAATGAGTATAACACTTTCATTAGGAATTGTTGTTTGCCATTTAAAATTACTGTAGACATTTTAAAATTTTAGGAGTCTACCTGCCAAAACAAAATCAGGAACTACATGAACACAATTACAAAACACTTTTCACGCAAATTAAGTCAGATCTAAATAATTGGAAAAGCATCAGTTGCTCGTGGGTAAGCCAAATTAATATAATAGAAATGACAGTTCTACCTAAATTAATTTACTTATTCAGCACCATACCAATCAAACTACCAAAAATTATTTTATAGAGCTAGAAAAAACAATAACAAAATTCATCTGGAAGAACAAAAGGTCCAGAATATCAAGGGAATTAATGAAAAGAAATGCAAAGGAAGGTGGCCTAACTGTACCAGATCTTAAATTGTATTATAAAGCAGCAATCATCAAAACTACTTGGCACTGGCTAAGAAATAGAGTGGTGGATCAGTGGAATAGGTTAGGTATGCAAGACACAACAGTCAATGACTATAATAATCTACTATTTGATAAATCCAAAGACTCCAGCTTCTGGGATAAGAAATCACTAACAAAAACTGCTGGGAAAACTGGAAAAATGTATGGCAGAAACTGGGCATAGACCAATATCTTATACCTTATGCCAAGATAAAGTCAAAATGGGTACAGGATTTAGATATGAAGACTGATACTGTAAGCAAAGTAGAAGAGCAAGGAATAGTTTACCTTTCAGATCACTGGAGAAGGGAAGAATTTATGACCAAACAAGAGATAGAGAATATCATGAAATGCAAAATGGATAATTTTGATTACATTAAATTGAAAAGTTTTTGCACAAAGCCAATGCATCCAAGATTAGGAGAGAAGCAGAAAACTGGGAAAGAATTTTTACCACCAGTATCTCTGATAAGGGCCTCATTTATAAAATATATAGAGAACGGAGTCAAATTTATAAGAATACAAGTCATCCCCCAATTGATAAATGGTCAAAGGACATGAACAGGCAGTTTTCAGAGGAAGAAACTAAAGCTATCTATAGTCAGATGAAAAAACGTTCTAAATCACTATTGATTAGAGAAATGTAAATCAAAGCAACTCTGAGGTACCACATCACGCCTATCAGATTGGCCAACACGACAAAACAGGACAATGATAAATGTTGGAACACTAATGCATTGTTGGTGGAGCTGTGAAATGATTCAACCATTTTGGAGAGCAATTTGGAACTATGCCCATATAAAATTGTGGCTATAAAATTTTATCATAAAAATGATAAAAGATATAAAAGAAATGATGAGCCCAGTGCCTGGCATAGAGTAGGAACTTAATAAATGTTCATTCAAATTAACTTATTGAGCAAACATTTATTAAGCACCTACTATGTGCACAAAAACAAAGTCATCCTTGCCCTTTGGGAGTTTATATTCTAAGGGTGTGGGGTGGGGGATTGGGCATTATAAGCAGAAACTAAGCACAAAATAAAAATGAGTGATTTTTTTTGGGGGGGTGGGGCAGAGGCATCAACAACTTTGGGCATTGGGTTAGGGACTTCCTGAAGGAGGTGGAGCTTTGGCTGAGCTATGCAGGAAGTTGGGGTTCTGATGATGGGGAGAAAAGAAGAGAAGAGAAGGGACGGTATGGGGCAAGGCTCTGCCTGTGCAAAGGCAAAGAGATGGAAATGGAACATTACGTATAGAGAACAGCAAATGAGTCACTTTACCCGGGAGGTACAGTTTGGGAATAAGGAAAATGTGCTTTAAGCCTGGAAAGGAAAACCAGAGCCAGGCGGTGAAAGGCTTTAAAGACCAAATGGAGAAGTCTATGTTTCATTCAAAAGCAGAGAGGTCTTTCAGAAGCCACCCAGGCCAGTCCCTGTACAGATTAGGAAACCGAGGCCCAGAGTGACTTGTTTAAGGTTATATCCAGAAGAGGCTGGGGAGGGGGGCGTGTATCTAAATTTAGGTCTAAGGACTCCAAAGCCAGTGCCTTTCCCCAAAATATGACATAAGAGGGAGCCACTGAGGTTTCCTGAGCATGGTCAGAATTGGAAAAAAAAAGTGCTTTGTAACACTAGATGAATGTCACTCACCATTCTACTGTCATTAACAGTAATGGTAATGACTTTGCCCAATGGTGCTGGTGGGAACCATGTTACATCTGGCCCCTGAGGTTCCTGTCTGGTGCTCTGATTCTTAGATAAACTTGCCTGGGCACAGACTGACCCTCCTGGTCCATATTTGCTGCCCAGGCTTTTTCGGTTCAGGTCTCCCTCCCTGCCAGGAGAGCCATTTCTCCCAGCAGCCCCCACTGTGTTTGGATTGAACAAGCTGCTGGCTGGTGCTGCTGCCTGGCTGCACTTGATAATTTTACATAGACATAGAAAATAGAGACAACTCATTAGGAAGAAAATGGTTCTTGACGCTAAGATGCATCAGCTCTTTTTAGCTCAGCCCTGACTGGGGGAACAAGGGAGGGAGGGGAGCCAGCAGCCAACCCAGTGGGGTCCTCCTTACCTTAGCGTCTTCCGGATCATATCTTCATCTGTGATTCCGTAGTAGGTGAGGGTCTCATTCCAGGTGGGGTTTAGGGTATTCCGAAGAGTTTTTGTTCTGAGTTTATTTGCCTAGAAAAAATTTTAAGAAAGAAATAAAGGCAGAAGAGATAATTATGCCAGAGGAGAGCCCAAGGGGAGCCTCTGGGATAAAACAGCCAGAGGTGTCAGCTGCTTTCTACGCCCTGGGGCATCGGGACAAGAGGGTCCTCTCGGTGCTCCCCCCAGCAGGGCCCCAGGGAGGCAGAACTGTGGAGTCGGCGAAGTTTCCCACCCCCATAGCTTGTGGGGTGCAGTGATTGTGCTTGGCTCTCATCTGCTCTCAGGAGATGGATAGTCATTGACCATCAGGGCAAATTTTAGTGGTTTCTTCTCCTAGGGGGGGAATCAAATCTTCTAATTCTGATTTGTTTGTTGAATGAAAAGCTTAGTCCTTGATGCAGGCTATTAGACCAGGCCCCCTTCACCCAGGGAAGGAGGAGGACCATGCTGATAGAGACAGCAAGAGTGTCTGATAACTGCCCGTGACTACAATGGAGTTCAGAGGGGTTCTATCAATCCCTCTGCTTAGCCTTTGTAAGGGCTCCAGCTTTCCAGCTCCCTTTGTCTACCCCAATAGGAAAACCACATGGACCCTAACATCTGTGGGTCGTCTAGAACCTCGATCGAGCTAGAGCACTGGCATTCAGCTGCCTTTATCTCCACTTTTTAGATTTCCTTGTTTCCTTGAGCAGAGCTTAAACTTGAAGACATGTAGAAATATGACGCCCTTCCTGATTCCCCCATCGATCAGAGCCTCTCCCTGGATTTATTGTGTTTATATTTATGTGTGTATACTTTTTCTTTTTTTATTAATTTATTTTTAGTTTTCAACAATCACTTCCATACGTTTTTGAGTTTTACATTTTTTCCCCCTCCCTCCCCAAGGCGGTGTACAATCTGACATAGGCTCTACATATACATTCCTATTAAACGTATTTTCTGTGTGGTATATTTTGTCACTCCCAGTAGAAAGGTATCTTCTTGAAGGCGGGTACTGTTGTTTCATTTTTGCTTTTGTATGTTCAGCATTTATCACAGTGCCCTGGCGCATAGTAGGCATTTCATAAATCCTTCTTCTTATGGCAGGACCTCCATTCCCCTGCACTCAGCCAGGATGAGGAGCTCAGGATGGTGGTGGGACAGAGAGCATAAGTTTTTCATATGAGTGGGTACGTTTACTAAACCAGCTTCTATACAATCAGTAAAGCCCGGAGTTGGAAAAGTTAGTGTGAAATCTTTACCCTTTTAAATCTAGAAATCTGACTAGCACCATCCTGACAAATTTCAGACCTTAGGAAGCAGGAGAAGGAGGAATTCCTCAATGAGCCCCGCCCAGGAGCAGGATCCTCAGCACCACGTGTTTATTCAGTTACCTCTGAGAACTTGGGAGGACCCCTAGGGATCTTCTGATCTGACACCCTCATTTTGCAGAGAGGTGTAAGTGAATTGTCCAGTTACACACAGTGTGGAGCAGAGGAAGCCACAGGTGGTAAATGGGGTCATTCTAGAGAGGGTAGGACAATGCAGGCTTTGCCAAAGAGATGTCACCCAGATGGGCAGACAAATGAAGGGATGGCGATGGGGGAGGGAGCTGCTTTCCCTGGGTCTAACACGTTGGCACTAGATTTCCAAAAAGCCTGACCCTGTGTGTGAGCCAGAGCCTGTTTTCAAAGGACTGCCCAATCATGGTGTCAAATAAGAACACTCACTCTGGGTGCTCTATGAGCAGGGGTGGTTATGGCTGTTCCTCGGTTATTCCCCAGGTCTCCAGAGCTGGGGGCTATTGGCAGCCTGGACTCTTGTCCCTTTGAATCTCTGCTTCCTGCTGTCAGAGCTGATGTCAAACACAGAAGACCCATGGTGCATGAGTCCGTGAGAGCTTTGGAGCAGAATGTGGAACCCCCAGGGAACCCATAAGATCGCATCTTCCTTTGTGAACCAGGAGGAACCAAAATCAGGAGGAAACTAAAGGCCTGTGAGCAAAGGAGTCTGGGAAACCAGGCATCCAGCTAGCGCCATTGCACAGACTCAGTGAGGATCAGCGCTTTCTCTCTTGTGGGGTGCTCACTCAATGACCACCTATTTGCTCTGCATGCCAATGTGGTGAGGTGGGTGGAGCAGGTGAGGAAACTGAGGCTCAAAGTGAGATGGTACAAATTCAAAGCATTTTGTCAAACAGAATCTAAGCAACGTGTCCAATGTCAGACAGCTACTGTCCCAAACTGGACTCTGTGAAAATCAGATCTTTTACTTGTGTGATTGTTTTACGGCTATGATTTCATTGGAGTAGGGGACTCCCCTTTTTACGGATAAAGAAAGTGAAACTGAGAGAAATTAAGAGATCTGTCCGTGTAGGTGATAGTAAGTATCTGAGGCAGATTCAGACTCAGGTTTTCTTGACTCTAGGTCCCACAATCTATCCCCTACACCTACTCCCTAGCCTCAGTTTCCTTATTTGTAAAATGAGCTCTAGAGTGATGATCTATATTTCACTTTAGTCTCTTCATCTGTAAAATAAGGGGGTTGGAGTAGATGGCTTCTGGGCCTCAGTTTCCTCATCTGTAAAATGAGGTTGGAGTAGATGGCCTCTGGGCCTCGGTTTCCTCATCTGTAAAATCAAGGGATTGGAACAGATGGCCTTGGGGGTCTCTTTCAACTTTAAATCTTTGATCCTGTGATCCTTTCCCTTCCCTTCTCTTTCTCTCCATTCCAGCTCTCTGTCCATCTCCACCTCCTCCACGCTGCACCCTGCTGGGACCTGAGGAGCGCTGGGAGCAGGCCTCCCCAGCACCTTGCCAGTGATGCTCTGGGCCGGATTACTTCAGCAGTTTGAGGGAGGCTGGGAAAAGCAACTCAATTAGGAGGAGGAGAGAGAAACCAGGACACCAGAGCCCCATTTTCAAGGCTGGCCTGCAGATCAGGACTGGGACGTTATGACCTAGCACGGAGCCTGGACGGCGTCTATCAGCTTGGCCTGTTTATCCTTCAGGCGCTGGCCAGTGCCTCTGCTGCTCAGATTTATCTGGCAGAGCTCCGCCCCCACCCGGTCCTGGGGGGTGGGGGGAGATTGGGGGTATTTTTAAAAGCTTCCAATTGTGCTGTTGGGGGTTCAAAAGGAATTTAATTACCCCAGGTGCAAAGCCACTTTATATGGACCTCAATGTCCCCATCTGTACATAATTACAGTGAATGTTTATATCGTGCTTTAATGTTTACAAAGTTTGTTTGCTTTTGAGACTGGGTCTGCCTCTATCTTGCCAGGCTGGATCCACTCAGGAACCCAGTCGGATTTTGATCAAGTTTCCAACCTTGGTCAGTTCATTCCTCCTAAGGGAACCTGAGCCCCGCTCTCGGGAGCTTCCCTTCCTGGTGCTGACACCTGATGGGCTTAGTACTACTGCTGTTCCTCCCGTGTGATCCTTCATCTCCCACCTCCAGGCCTTTGCCCTGGCTATCTCCCATGCCTAGAATTCTCCGCCCCCTCTCCCAGACTTTTTGGGATACTCAGTTTCCTTCTGGACTCTGCTCAAATGCCGCCTTCTGGAGGAGGCCTTTCCCAGCTCCCCAGCTCCCCAGCTCCCCAGCTCCTAGGGTTGTCCCTTCGGAGACTTTGTACCACCCTCTCTTGTATGTAACTAATTGTTTACATTTTGCCTCTCCTGTTAGAATATAAACTCTTTGAAGACAGGGACCGTTTTTGCCTTTCTTTGTATCCTCAGCACTCAGTACAATTCTTGGAACACAGGAAGTGCTTAATAAATGCTTGTTGATGATTGAAAGAGCACCGGCTCTGGCGTCCGAAGACCCAGGGTCAAATGCTTACTACCTGTGTGACCTTAGGGAACATATCTCCCATCCCTGGGCCTCAGTTTCCATCTCTGTACAATGAGGGACTTAGATGCCCCATCTAGCTCCAGATCTGTGATCCTATAAGTCAGTCCCTCTCCCTGTGCCTCAGTTTCCTCCTTTGTAGAATGAGAGGTTTGGACGCCGCTGCCTCTGAGAAACCCTTCAGCTCCAGAGCTCTGATGCTCTGATTCTGTTGGCGATGGGAGCCGCTGAATATTTCTGAGCAGAAGAGCAAAGATATCAGAGCTGTGCACCGGGAAGATGAAGAAGTGGTGCCTTTTTTTGTTTTTGGCAGTGGGAAGAGGTTGGAGGTGGGGAATCCAGTTAAGAGGCCATTGCAATATTCTTGGCAATAGATAATGAAGCCCTGAGCTAGGAGGGTTGTTGTGGGAATTGAAAGGATGAGACAGCTTGGAGAGATACTTCCGAGGTAGACTTAGCGAGAGCTTTTTTGGGCAACAGATTAGATGGGGTGGGGTGGGGTGGGGAAGGGAGAAGGAGAGAGTGAAGCCAAAGCTTCTGCAGTTAGAAGTGTGGGGGAGAGAGAAACCAGAAAGAGGAGCAAGTTTTAAGGGGAAGAGGACGGCTCAGTTTTGAACGTGTTGTGTGACGGATGCTAATGGGATCCATGAAGCCCTCCTGGTCCTCCCACCCCATCTACAGATGACCTTTCCTTCCTCTTCCCTCTCATCCTACCTCTTGCATTTATGAATTGTGTGACCTTAGGCAAATTGTTTAATTTCTCAGTCTTCTCATCTGTAAAACAAGAGGATGGGCAAGATGACCTCTGTGGCCTCTCTCAGCTCACCTAGGATTCCCATTGCTTTGTAGACACGTCCTATGTGTCCAGGAGGCTGTTGGGAATGTGGGCTGGGGCTAGAGATGGGGACCTAGCAGTGATTCACTTGAAAAGTAAAGCAGGAAAGGTTGCTGGGATGAATGTCTCTTTTGTGAGGACCAGCCTCAATGACTTTGGAGGACCTCCTCCAGTCATGCAAACACTTCAAGAACACCGACTGAGATGGAAAAGGAGTGAATCAGTGGAAGGACTACACTTACCAAAGTGTGGCTACACTTACCAAAGTCACCATCCCTCAAGGACTGAAGTTAGTATAAGAGTAGAGTTGACTTTTTAAGAGTGGATGAGAATGTGGAGGTGGGGGGAGGGGGGATCAAAGAGGAAACTGAGACTCAGGGAAGGGAAGTTATTTGCCAGAGTGACATAAATAGTAAGCATCAGTGGTGGGATTTGAACCCAGGTCCTGAGTTCCAAATCCAGTGCTGTTTCTTCTGCATAGGGAGAGAAGAGGAATTGAGTCAAAGCCTTAGGGATTATCAGCATTTTAGGAAAGACAATGAGTAGACTCATAAATCATAGATTCAGAGCTGAAAGAGACCATAAAGGTTCTTGAGTCCACCCCTCCCCCCATTTGACAGATAGGGAAATTGAGGCCCAAGTCCACAATCACAAGGTAGTAAGTGATCCAGAAGAGATTTGAACCCGAGTCTCCAAGTGGTAAGATTTGAACTCTAGAGCCAGGGCTTTCCCCATTGTGCTATGCAATCAGCCAGCAAAGCAGAGAAAAGAAAGGAAAGAGGCTGTTCTCAAGAACCACTGGTGGCTATGCCCTTCCTCAATCTGGACAAATCTTTTCTGCAGCCATTTTTTTTCCTTGCCCATGCCATCTGTCAAAGTAATGAGTTCCTTTAGCTTGTTGCCTCCTGTTTGAAGTAAGACTTCTCCAGGGTGGTCCAAAAGTCTAAGACTTTGTTCTAACTTACTATGACACCCTCTGTGTGATGCTGGCCAAGTCACTTATCCTCTCAGTACCTCAGGAAGTTACAGAGGAGGTGTCACTCTATCTTGGTAGAGGGGCTCCCCTCGCCAGGAGCTCCCTATGCTGCGTTCTAAAGGCTCAGACTGCAGTAAGGTTTTACATATATTATCTCACTTGATCTTCATGACCTGTGAAGTTATTATAATAGAGTTGCGATTATCATGCCTTCTCACTGCATGAAGAAACATCATGATGCTCAGAGTGATTAGCTCAGAGTCACGTAGCTAGTGTCTAGAGGGGAGATTTGAACCCTCGTCTTCCTGGCTCCTAAGCTCTATCTAACCCCCAGGCTGATCATGCCTACCCTGCCCTACCTAGGGCTGGGGTTTTGGCATTAGGGGGCCCTCTGGGGCTTGGGGGCTGCTGGGGGATTGGCCTGCCTGCAGCAGGAGAGAGAAGAGGCAGCTCTCACCTTACTTGCTCCTGGAAGCAAATGCAGTTTGACGTATGGATCTGCCAGCCCATTATGGTCCATTGGCTTCAGTCCCTTAATAAAAAGAGAAAAACAAAGGCCATTGAATTGATTATGACAAAAACCAGCCCATGGCCACCTGGGCATCTGGCTAAGTAGACATCATGAAAATTGACTCCGAATGAAATCCATTTCCACACTCAGGACATATGTTTCTGCCCCACCCCTCTGCTTTCCATGAGGGCTCAGCAAACCACCTGGACCCAGGAGATCTGGACAGTGTACTCTGTGGCTGGTCCCCTGAGGCAGTCGGGGAAAGAGGCTGTCCAAATGGTCAGGCCCCAGCAGGACCCCTCGGTCTCACTCTGTTCTCCGCATGACCGCTGGCCACACCCTCATCTCCACGTGGCCATCTCCTGACAAGGACGGCATGAGTGTGGATGAACTGGTGCATGGTAATCCTTACTTGTGGCTCAAAGCCTGAGTCCCACCACCACTGGGTCAGAAGTGCCTTCTTTTGTATTCCCAGCACTTAGCACAGTGCTGGGCACACAGTAGAGGCTAAGTAACTGTTTATTGATTGATCGTGGTCTACAAAGGACATGGTGCAGCTCTGGCTCCTTTAAATCCAATTCACGAGCAAGTCAAGGCATCACCCTCTTCCAGATGAAGGACAAACACCCCCACCACCACAACAGAGGGCATAGCCAGCACAGAATAGATGTTTGTTGAATTCAATTGGAATGAGAGCAGCTCCAATCTCTATGCCCTTCCTCCCCTGTAGGAAGCTTCCTCTCTGCTTTCCACCTTGCCTATACTCCATCAGCTGCCAAGCCTAGTGATCCTCCCTCCTTGGTCTCCTGCTTTCATCCTCTCCTGATCACTAATATGGTCACCATCCTCATCCAGCACTTAGCACAGCACCTGGCACACAGTAGGCATTTAATAAATGCTTATTGATTGCTTGATTGATTGGTTCAGGTTCTCATTGACTTTCACTTGAACTATCCTAACAGCTTCCCAATTGGTGTCCTTCCCTCCAGCCTCTCTCCTCTCCAATCCAGTCAGTCAGTCAAACAGCATTTATTAAGCTCTTACTGTATACCAGGCACTGTGCAGAGTGCAGGGGATAAAAAGAAAGGCAAAAACAAGAACCCTGATTTTATCCTTGAGGACAGTGGGGGGAGTGGGAAACAACATGCAAATAACTGTGTACATATATGATATATAATATAATTTAAAGATAATCTCAGATGGAAAGGACTGGGGGGATGAGGGAGGCAGAAAAAGCCTCCTGCAGAAGGTGGGATTTGAACTGGGTCTTGAAGGAAGCCAGGAGGCAGAGGTAAGGAGGGAGACTGTTCCAGGCATGGGAGGATAGCCAGTGAAAAGTCAGGAGATGGCTTAACTCTTCAATAATCTCCAATAGACATTCATTCAGTTGATCAATAAGCTGTTGGTCAATAAGCATTTATTAAGTACCTACTATGTGCCAAGCACTAGAGATGCAGAGTTAAAAGACAGTCACTGTTGTCCAGAAGCTCATGGTCTAACGGGGGAGACAGACACGCAAACAATTATGTACAAACAAGATAGAGACAGGATACACTGGAGATAGTCAGTACAGGATGATCTAGCTTCCACTTGGCTGCCAAAATAATCTTCTTGAGGGACAGGTCTAACCATATAATTTGCTTCGCTCAAAACCTTCCAGTGGCTTCCTCTTGTCTATGGGAGAAAATACAGATGCGACAGCCTGACATTTAAAACCTTCCAGAATCTGGCTCCAGCTTGGCTGCATGTTACCTTGATAAATCAGCAAGCACAATTTGCCTTCGCTTACTCTACACTACAGCCAAACCTAGCTGCTACTGGCTTTCCTCATCTTGTTTTGCCTTTCCCTGCCACCATGAATTTGAGCCGGGCATCCTCCCAGCTAGAAATGCATTACTTCCCCCTCTGTTTTAATCCCTTCTCTCTGGCCACCACCTCCACAGCCTCCTTCACAACTGGCTCCCCTACCACACCAGAAAATAAGCCTGGGAGAAACTTCCATTCAGTGGCCCATCTTGGATGAGAACTGCTTTGCCCTTCTCTTTCCTCCACTTATGGAACCATGATAAATCAATTTTGCTATTCATTGGTCCTGGAAGGGCTGTGTCAATCTGTCCCACTCACCATCTTTTGAGGGTAGGAGCTGTCTTTGCTTTTATATTTTTATCAGAGTTTAGCAAAATACTTGGAACATAGTAAGTCTTAAATAAATCCCTCTATCCCTCCCTTCTTTCCATCTTTCCTCCCTCTCTCCCTCCCTTCCTTCCTTTATCCCTCCTTCCCTTTCCTCCCTTCCCCCTTCTCCCTCCCTCTGTCCTTCCCTCCCTCCCTTCCTTCCCTCCCTCCCTTCCTTCCCTCCCTCCTTCCTTCCTTCTTTCCCTCCTTCCCTCCTTCCTTCCTTCCTTCCTTCCTTCCTTCCTTCCTTCTTTCCTTCCTTCCTTCCTTCCTTCCTTCCTTCCCTTTTTTTCTTTCTATGTCTGTCTATCTTCCAACAGACTTAGAGTCCAGGAACCTAAATTCAGATTCTGCTTTTGCCCCTGACTACTTGTTGATTTCACCTCTTTGCCGACGATTCACCAAGGCCAATAAGAAGGTGCATCAGTGGTCTTCTTTGTATGCAAAGAAAATCGAACACAGAGGGTCTACCCTGTAACATTTTCCATTGGAAATGTTTGGGAGCTTAATAATTTAATTATTTAAATGTGCTGCCACTCAGCGACTCTGTCTTCCAGCGATTATAGAACATGTGGACTCACTTCTCTGCATGAATACCTATGCTGGTCAAGTAATTTACTTCCCCTCTCTGGGCCTCAGTTTCCTCATCTGTAAAATGATGGTGTTTGGATTAGATCGTGTAGTGTAGTAGCAAAAATGCAGGATTGAGAGTACAAAGTGATGGTCCAAAGCTTCACTCTACTGCTTACTGTGTGGCAGGTTGGACAAGGTCATACTCCCTCTCTGAGCCTCAGTTTCCGAACCTGCAAAATGAAGAGGGTAGACTCGATGACGTTGGAGGCCCTTTCAAGCTCTAAATCTATGCCTGGAACACAGTAAGCACTTAATAAATGTTTATTAGCTGACTGACAGATCCTATGATCCTAAGGATACTAGTTCTGGAAAAGGTCATTAGAGGCAGCATGGTACAGCGGAAAGAGCATTGGCTGTGAGGTCTGAGGGCCTGGGTTCAAATCCTGATTCATTGATATTAGAGTCAGAGGAGTTGGGTTCAAATCCCACCTGTGACATTTACTACTTGTGTGACCTCGGACAAGTCACATAACTTCCATGGGCTTCAGTTTCCTCATCCATCAAGTGAGGGGGTTGGAGTAGAAGACCTCTGAGCTTCCCTTCCTGCCAGTTGTTGACTCAGGATCCTAGGATCCCCTCATTTGGGTCCCCCTGGCTCTGAGAAAGGATCTTCCCTTCCATGAGACTGCAGGAATGTAGTGGAGTCAGGGTCAGAATGGGAGATATAAAACTGGCTTGAGAATTGAAAGGGAATTCACCCTGAGTGCTTCAGGAGGGTCCCGTCTGCCAAGCGCCAGGATCTTCTCATTGACTGCGTCGAAACTGATCAAAGACTAGCACCGGACCTGAAATCCCAGATTTTTTATATGAGCGAAGTTGATTAAACTGTGGGATTTTTTTGGATGACTTTTGTATTACTGCTTACGAATCCATATTTCAGAACAGCTCACAGGCTTATTCAAGATTGCTCACCATTGTAATCAATTTAAAAAATCCTCATGACCCACACTCATATGGATTTCTGATTATATAGCCTAGTATCGTGGGAGAAAAAATAAAAAAAACTCCTCCAAACTTGGATCCTTCGTTTAGTTCTGTGCCGACCTTTTACTGAAGGGTAAATTGAGGCCCAGAGAGGGAAAAATGACTTACTTGAGTTGACAGATGGATAGAGAGTATTTATTAAGCTGTTACTATGTGCCAGGGGATACAAAAGCAAATCTATGATCCTACCTGGTGAGTGGGTAACTCTGGGGGATTGGATCATTGTGGGTATTTTGTGATGATTCCTGGTGGATGCTGTTGGTACTTCAAAAACTTGGCAAGTATTCCTTTCTGTCAGTAAGAGTAGTAAGATGAATATTGAAATGTACATTTCTACATTGCTTCACAATTTACAAAGCATTTAAAGCCCTTCCCAATCTGGCCCTACCTACCTTTCTAATCTTATTAGGTATTACTCAGTCATGAATGCCATAGTCCAGCCAAGACACCTAATTATTGTTTCCTGTACATGACATCTCATCTTCCAGCACTTTGCCCAAGCTGCTCCCATGCCTGGAATGCCCTCCCTTCTCTCCTTTGCCTTTTAGAATTCCTAGTTTCCATCAAAGCCAAACTCAATTGTTACCTCCTAGAGGACCTTTCCTGGGCCAAATTAAGTGGGTGCGTGCTTGTGTGTGTTTGCACATGTGTGTATGTGTGTGTGTGTGTATAGTGGGGGTCCTAGTTATGTTACCCTGCTTGTTTCTATCAGTGTGTATTTGTGAGTCTTTTTTGGTGTGTGTGTGTGTGTGTGTGTGTGTGTGTACGTGTGAGTGTAGGAATAAATAGCTGTCCTATACTTAATACCCTTTCTGGAGGGAGACCCTAGCCAGGAGTCACACCAGGGCTCTGGGTTAGGGGTGTAAAGAGCCTGAGCCCTTTGTAGGGGCCAGGGCTGAATCTGATCCTCAAGTTTGAGCCTAGAGCTGAGGGAAACCCTGAGTGGTGGAAGATGAGCACCACCCCAGAGACTCACCTAGACCCCTGCCAGTTGTGTTACATTGTATATATTTTATGTCTGCTACATGTCATTTTGTTTTCATTGATAGAATGTAACTTCTTGAGAGCAGGACCTATTCCTTTTTTTAGTCTTTGTATCACCAGCACCCAGAACAATACCAGGTCGCACAGTAGGTACTTAATAAACATTTGATGATTGGCTGAGCAAGACATTATCTAACTCGGTCCTTTCATTTTATAGAGAAGAAAATTGAGAACCGGAGGGAGTC